TTGTGGGTGGTAGTGATGATGATGGTAATGTTGGTATTTGTGGTAGTTGTGGTAGGATGTGGTCAGGTCTTGATGAGGAGGCGATAGTAATAGTGATGGTGGTAGTTGTGGTAGGATGTGGTCAGGTCAGGGTGGGGAGTTATTAGTGATAATGGTGGTAGTAAAGGTTGTAGTTGTGGTGGTGATGGTGGTGATGGTTGTAGGATGGTGGTAGTTGCGGTGGTGATGGTGGTAGGATGGTGGTAGTTGCGGTGGTGATGGTGGTAGGATGGTGGTAGTTGTGGTAGCGATAGTGTTCGTTGTGGTAGTAATGGTGGTAGTTGTGGTAGCGATAGTGTTCGTTGTGGTAGTAATAAGAACATAAGAACATAAGAATGGAGTGAAACTGCAGCGGGCCTATTGGCCCATACTGGCAGTCCTGTTTACAATCAACCCTATTGCTCATATGAGCATCCAACCTATGTTTGAAGCAATTCAGCGTATTCGAGTTAATGATGATATTTGGTAACTTGTTCCATTCATCCACTACTCTGTTTCCAAACCAGTGTTTACCTATTTCACGCCTAAATCTAAATTTGTCTAATTTAAAACCATTGTTACGAGTTCGCTCCTGGTTGGATAATTTGAGTACCTTTGTAATGTCCCCTTTGTTTAGCCCTGTCTTCCACTTATACACCTCTATCAGGTCGCCCCTCGCTCTACGTCTCTCGAGGAGTGCAAATTAAGATGCTTTAACCTGTCTCTATACTCAAGGTTCCTAATGCCCGGGATTAGTCTTGTCATTCTCCTCTGAATTCTTTCCAAGGATTCTATATCCATTCTGTAATACGGTGACCAGAACTGAACTGGTGTAATCCAGGTGTGGTCTCACAAGAGCAAGATACAGTTTTAGGATGACCTCGCTAGTCTTGTAACTAACACTCCTTTGGTGGTAGTTGTGGTAGGATGTCCTGAATGACGTAAACAGGATTGACGTCATTCTGTTATTATAAATAATGACCAATTACATTCTTTCCATTCTCCTCTCATACACCTTCATGACACAGACTGTCCTCAACGCCAGGCGAACTTTCACCGGCCTTCTGCCCACAATGGCGTACTGTACCTTACTGGTGTCATAGAGGGCCGGATACAATATACTTTTACTACAGCAGGACTTCCTCTGTGTGTCGTGTTGTAACGGGTGAAGGTCAATGGTCTTCTCTCATGGACCTTATCTCTTGTGTCCAAACGTCACTATAATCAGGTGTCCTGTGTACTAATTAGTAAGACCCAGGTGACTTAGGTACACTCACGCGCCAGAGTTTCGATGCACCCTCTAAAAAATCCTGTATCGTGCATATATTCTCTCAAATATTACATCATGAACTGCTATTCGTACAATCCAGCGAAGCTTCGAGCTACCACATTGCACCACTGAGCGATGAGTGGGGGGCGTTCGGTATGAAGCCAAGACTACGACTTCCATCGAGTCAGGAGTAGGGGTAGAGGGTGCATCGAAACTATGGCGAGTGAGTGTACCTAAGAACATAAGCATGGAGGAAACTGCAGCGGGCCTAGTGGCCCATACTGGACAGCCCCGTTTACACCCAACCCCAATCGCTCATATATCCATTCAAGTTTCAACCTGTGTTTGAAGCTATCCAGCCTATTCGAGTTAATGCTGAAGTTCGGTAACTTGTTCCACTCATCCACTACTCTATTTACAAACGAATGTTTACCTACCTCGCGCCTAAATCTTAATTTGTCTAATTTAAAACCATTGCTACGAGTTCGCTCCTGGTTGGATAGTTTGAGTACCTTCGTTATATCACATTTGTTTAGCACTGACTTCCATTTATACACCTCGATCATATCTCCCCTCACGCTGCGTCTCTCGAGGAAGTGCAAATTTAGATGCTTTAACCTGTCTCTGTACTCAAGGTTGCTAATGCCCGGGATTAGTCTTGTCATTTTCCTTCGGATGTTTTCTAGGGATTCTACAGGTATATCCATTATGCAGTACGGTGACCAAAACTAAACGGTATAATCCAAGTGTGGCTTTACGAGCGCAAGATATAGTTTTAGGAGGACCTCGTTAGTCTTGTAACTTACACTCCTTTGTATGAACATAAGTACTTTATTAGCCTTGTTTCGAGCAGATGCGCAGTGTTGTCTCACAGTCGGATCTCTGTATATCAACGTTGATTATTTGATATATGGTTTTTCTGTTTATATCTCTTATACAAAGTACTTTACATTTTTACACATTAAATTTCGTCTGTTATTTTTCAGATCATGTGAAAAATTTGCTTAGATCTTTCTGTAGTTTTGTGGAGTCCTCGTCAGATTTAATTACGCGCCCTATTTTAGTGTCGTCAGCAAATTTACTTATGTTGCTGTCTACGCCTATATTTATGTCGTTTATGTATACAGTAAATGGTGATGGTCCAAGTACTGAGCCTTGGGGTACTCCACTAGTAACATTCGGATAGGTTTCGAGACAAAATGGCCCCAATCGAAAAAGGCCCAAACCAGAACGACCCTACTCTAACCAAAACGGCCCCACCCTGTGACCAAAACGGCCCCACCCTGTGACCAAAACGGCCCCACCGTGTGACCAAAACGGCTTAACTCTAACCAAACCTAACCTAACCATAAAAAAATCTCATCTTAATCTAACCTAACCTAACCTAACACGGTGGGGCCGTTCTTGTTTGGGCCGTTTTCGACTGGGGCCGTTTTCTCCTGCTACCATCGGATATGGTGCTATTAATACTCACTCGCTGTTTCCTGCCCTGTAACCACGCCCTAATCCAGTTTAGAACATCTCCAATTCCACGACCCTCCACTTTACGTATTAGTCTTTCGTGGGGGACACTGTCGAAGGTTTTGTTAAAGTCGAGGTAAACCACTTCATAATCGTGTACGTCATTCACTGATTCGAAAACAGTTGAAAAGAACTATAATTGTTTTGTCCGACGAACGCCCATTTGTGAAGCCATGCTGGGAATCATTGATCTATTTGTGTTTCTCGAGGTGATTTCGAATTGAGTTTGAGATTACACCTTTTCACATATTCGTTGAGACATTATTACATAACTATTTGACAAATTTCATAACCGAATGACAGAACACATATCGAATGACATTCCAAAATAGCTGTTCGTTCATGCTAACGGAAGTGATTGACATAAGTTATGAAGTTGACAGACGTGAACAATAAACCGACAGTCTACATATAGTTTGAAAATGTAACAATTGGAGAATGACATACCACCAACAGTTATTTTAGATTGTCATTCGATATGTGTTCTGTCATTCGGTTATGAAATTTGTCAAATAGTTATGTAACAATGTCTCAACGGATATGTGAAAAGGTGTAATGCTTCCAGTAATTTGCCTACAATTGAAGTTAAACTAATTGGGCAGTAGTTAAAGGATAGTGATCTATCTCTCTTCCTGAAAATCGGTATCACACTCGCTATCCTCCAGGATTCTGGTACTTCACCGGTTTTTAATGACATGTTAAACAAGTTTGCTAAGGGCATACAAAGCTCTTCCTTACATTCCTTTAATACTCTGGAGTTACAATAGTCACTACTATCTCACTTAATCTATTTTCTTCACTATCTCTGTATATAGTCGGTGCCTCGGATATCATGTTTAAAATATCGGTTGTGAAAACTGATTAAAAATATCTGTTCAGCTTATTGCTTATTCTCAGTCGTTATCACTTAGTTCGTCGGAATTTGGCTGTATTGGTACTAATTATTAAGACCCAGGTGTTCTAGGTACTAATCATTAAGAACCTGGTGTCCTAAGACCCAGGTATACTATGACTCAGGTGTCCTACATAAGCATCAGTAGGTCGAGGGTAACGTTTCGTGTCTTCGCTTGGGTGTTCGAACGTGTCAGTGGGGTGATTATTGTGGACACTCGGGTGGCCATACAGAGTGAACGATCTGAATAACTTGTACTGTACAGCCACCAGACCATGGGAGGGGGTGACACACTGACGGCTCTCTTGCTGTTGCTGCTGTTGCTGTTGTTGTTGTTACTAATATTGCTTCTGATACTGCTACTTCTACTTCTGATGCTGCTACTGCTGCTGTTCTTGCTGCTATTGGTTTTGATACTGCTGCTGCTATTGGTGTTGTTGCTACTATTGCTTCTGCTATTGTTGTTTTTGTTGATAATGCTACTGTTGTTGCTGTTAAGAATATTGCTTTTGTTTTTGCTGCTGCTATTGCTTCTTGATTGATGGGGGGTCCCCTGCCTTGACCTACTGACTACAGAAGTTTATGTATTCAGGAATTCCTTCTTTCTAGAAACGAAATTTGGTTTGCTTTTTATCCCCTGAATTGCATTTATTATTTATGGTAATAAAAACTGTGGTGTTTCTTTTTTGTTACACCGTATGTTTGTAGTTGCTTGTTGTACTGTGTGTATGTTTGTGGGCGTTTACTCTATTGTCTGCGTGTGTTTGTGGTCGTTTGTTGTACTGTGTGTTTGTTTGTGGTCGTTTGTTGTACTGTGTTTGTATGTGGTCGTTTACTGTGTTGTGTGTTTGTTTGTCGTCGTTTGTTGTACTGTGTGTTTGTTTGAGGTCGTTTGCTGTACTGTGTTTGTTTGAGGTCGTTTGCTGCCTCACCTCACTAGTTCCCGACAAGGCCTGACCTACACACACACACACACACGTTGGTTGTTGTGGGGGTGACGGGTCAGTGTGGGAACCTTTGATAAATCCTGTTAGTTGTGTATCACCGATCATCTATATCCTTCCTTCCTTCCTTCCTTCCTTCCTTTTTTCCTCTATTTCCCCCCTTCCTGTCTTTCATTCGTTCCTTCCTTCTCCTCCTTTCCTCTAACTTTCTTCCCACTCATCATCGTCTCTTGCCACTTGCTCCATCACTACCGCCACTCACCTTCTCCTCCACCACCACCACCACCACCACCACTACTAACCTTCTCCTCCACCATCACCACCAGCACCACTAACCTTCTCCTCCACCCTACAGGACGTGAACGTACAGAAGCAGATGGAGATGCTGCACCGCCTGGAGGAGGACGACCTGTACAAGAAGTTCGCCAAGCAGCGGGCGGCGGAGGAGGCCAGGATGAACGACCATATCAAGGAGGAGTGGGAGACGGAGCTGGAGAAGCTTACCTCACAGTGAGATAGTCTCCTTCTGGTTCTCTTCTCTCCCGCACTCTCTCCACACACACTCTGTCTCACTCTCCATACACTGAAATATTCTCCTTATAAGTACAGTCTCTTACACTTAATTAAATGCTTTACAACTTATAATTTACACTGCTACTTAACGTCATGATAAACCACTTCATACACTTGAGGAAATGTCATACCACTTAACTCACTCTGCTATTAATTTAATCATAAAGTGGGTAGCCTGCCACTTTATAACTCACACTTCCACTTAACGTACACACTTAAGTAAATGACCTACCACTAAAGTCACACTTCTATCTAACGTAACCACTAAAGTAACCTGCTACTTAAGTCCCAATAAGTAGATGACCTCCCACTTATGACTGATACTCCCACTTAACATAATCAAGAAGTTCACCTGTCCTAACACCTGGAGGCCCTCGGTAGGTTCGAGCGTGACCTGGCGAATAAGAAGAGGTCGAGAGAGGATTCGAAGGTGCTGACGGTGCGCCACCAGAAGGAGAGGGAGGAGCTGGAGAAGAATATGACCATCAAGAGAGACATGAAGAAGGAGAACCTCACCCGCAAGATGCTGGAACATGAGAGGTGAGTTGTCTGCTGTTGGTGATATGTTTGATTTCTCTCTCTCTTTTATCTCTCTCTCTCTCTCTTATCTCACTCTCTCTCTTATCTCTCTCTCTCTCTCTTATCTCACTCTCTCTCTTATTTCTCTCTCTCTCTCTCAACCATCCACAAGATGCTCGTATTTCAGAGATGAGTTCTTGCTTTACTTTTAACAGCTGATGTTTATTTACCTTATCAGCTGATGTTTGTTTACCTTATCAGCTGATGTTTGTTTACCTTATCAGCTGATGTTTGTTTACCTTATCAGCTGATGTTTGTTTACCTTATCAGCTGATGTTTGTTTATTTAGTCGCTGACCTGAAAGTGCATTTGTGACCTTCAAGTACCTTTATAAAGCTCTCCTTTAAGTGCTTCTGTGACATTAACCTCCAAGTGCCTTTTTTGGTCTCCAAGTACCTCTGTAACCTCCAAGTACCTCTATAACACCTCTAATTGCCTCTGTGACCTCCAAGTACTTTTATAACGCTCTCCTCTAAGTACCTCTGTGACCTCCACCTACCTTTATAACACCCTCCTTTAAGTACCTCTGTGACCTCCAAGTACCTCTTTAAAACTTACCTCCATGTACCTCTGCGACCTCCAAGTACCTCTATGACAGCGACCTCATCTTACAGGGCAGCGACGGCAGCTCTGGTCGAGAAGCACAGTAAGGAGATGATGAGGCTGATCCAGGAGAAACGTTCAGAGTATCTTGAGGACGACGAGGAGGTGCTAGACCACTACCCGGCCCAGCCTCCACCACCACTACCCCCGCCACAGACCAAGACAGATATATACACAGACCCGGATGAGTTTGCTGACGTCGATCAACTCGCTATCCAGGTAAGGTTCTATCTGTGTAATTAAACCAGGTGTGTCTCAGGTAACTAATTAACAGGTACACTAATTAGCTAGCTAGGTAGTGTCTTTCTCAGGTAACTATGAGGAAACGAGTTACATAGTCCTAGGGCTACATAATAATTAGATAGTCCTGGGGCTGCATAACACGTCAGATAGTCCAGGGGCTACATAACACGATAGATAGTGCTGGGGTTACATAACACGTTAGATAGTACTGGGGCTACATAACAATTAGATAGTCCTGAGGCTACAAAACACGTTAGATCGTGCTGGGGTTACATAACACGTTAGATAGTCCTGGGGCTACATAACACTTTAGATAGTCCTGGGGCTACATAACACGTTAGATAGTCCTGGGGTTACATAACACTTCAGATAGTCCCGGGGCTACATAACACGTCAGATTTTTGCTAGCCCCATAACACGTTAGATAGTCCTAGCTGGCATAACACGTTAGATAGTTCTTGGGGCTACATAACACGTTAGATAGTCCTGGGGCTTATAACAAGTTAAATAGTCCCAAAGCAGCAACACGTTAGGGATAGTCCGGGGTTACATATCACGTTAGATAGTGCTGGGGCCCCATAACACGTTATTAGATAGGCCTGGACTACCTAACACGTTAGATAGTCCTGGGGCTAAGCATAACACGTTAGATAGTCCTGGGGCTACATAACATGTTAGATAGTCCCGGGCTACATAACACGTTAGATAGTCTTGGGGACACATAACACGTTAAATAGTCCTGGGGCTACATAACACGTTAGATAGTCCTGGTGTTACATAACACGTTAGATAGTCGTGGGGCTACATAACACGTTAGATAGTCCTGGGGTTACATAACACGTTAGATAGTCCTGGGGCTACATAACATGTTGGATAGTCCTGGGGTAACATAACACGTTAGATAGTCTTGGGGTTACATAACACGTTAGATAGTCCTGGGGCTACATAACACGTTAGATAGTCCTGGGGTTACATAACACTTCAGATAGTCCCGGGGCTACATAACACGTCAGATACTCCTGGGGCTACATAACACGTTAGATAGTCCTTGGGGTTACAACACGTTATATAGTCCTAGGGCTACATAACACGTTAAATAGTCCCGGGGCTACATAACACGTTCGATAGTCCTGGGGCTACATAACACGTTAGATAGTCCTGGGGTTACATATCACGTTAGATAGTGTTGGGGTCCCATAACACGTTAGATAGGCCTGGGACTACCTAACACGTTAGATAGTCCTGGTGCTACATAACACGTTAGATAGTCCTGGGGCTACATAACACGTTAGATAGTCCTGGGGCTACATGACACGTTAAATAGTCCAAGGCTACATAACACGTTATATAGTCCTAGGGCTACATAACACGTTAAATAGTCCCGGGGCTACATAACACGTTCGATAGTCCTGGGGCTACATAACACGTTAGATAGTCCTGGGGCTGCTATTAACACGTTAGATAGTAACAGCTACATACCACGTTGATATTCCTAGCTACATAACGCGTTAAATAGTCCTGGGGCTACATTACACGTTAGATAAGTACTGGGGCTACATAACATTAGAGTAGTCCTGGGGCTACATAACACGTTAGATAGTACTGGGGCTACATAACACGTTGATAGTCGGGCTACATAACACGTTAGATAGTGTTGGGGTACATAACACGTTAGATAGTCCTGGGGCTACATAACACTTTAGATAGTCCTGGGGCTACATAACACGTTAGATAGTCCTGGGGCTACATAACACGTTAGATAGTTCTGGGGCTACATAACACGTTAGATAGTCCTGGGGCTACATAACAAGTTAAATAGTCCCGGGGTTACATAACACGTTAGATAGTCCTGGGGTTACATATCACGTTAGATAGTGCTGGGGCCCCATAACACGTTAGATAGGCCTGGGACTACCTAACACGTTAGATAGTCCTGGGGCTACATAACACGTTAGTAGTCCTGGGGTTACATGACAGTTAGATAGTCCTGGGGCTACATAACACGTTAGGTAGTGCTGGGGCTACACAACACGTTAGATAGTGATGGGGTTACATAACACGTTAGGTAGTGCTGGGGCTACATAACACGTTAGATTGTGCTGGGGTTACATGACAGTTAGATGGTCCTGGGGCTACATAACACGTTAGGTAGTCCTGGGGCTACATAACACGTTAGGTAGTGCTGGGGCTACATAACACGTTAGGTAGTGCTGGGGTTACATGACAGTTAGATAGTCCTGGGGCTACATAACACGTTAGGTTGTCGTGTGCGTTTGTGCGTGTGTGTGCGCTCGCGTGTGTGTGTGTGTGCGCCTGTTTGTGTACGTGTGTGTGTGTGTGCCGGGATGTACTCAGCCTCACAGGTCCACACAGCTCGAAGAACCAGTATATGACCGGTGTGTGTGTGTGTTTGTGTCCCAGTGATTTGTCTGCTTGTGTCCACTTCTAATGACGCTAAGAGCCTCTACAAACGTTCAACATGTGTGTAAATGTACCCAGGTATTTAGAAACGTTTGACCTGTGTGTAAATATCACCCAGATATCCTGTAAGTGTCCCCATATATCGTGTAAATGTTCCTAGATATCCGGTAAATGTCCCTAGATATCGTGTAAATGTCCCCAGATACCCTTTACACGTCTCTAGGTATCTATAAACGTCTAATCAGTGTTTACGTTATCTCCAGGTCGCACAAGAGGACCAGAAGACGTTCACTGACCTGGTAAGGATGTTGGTGGGTCAGTGTAGCTCTGACGTGGAGAAGGTGAGGACAATCTTCCGCTGGATCACCGTCAAGAACCTCAACTCCATCACCTTCGACGACTCTGCCCACGGCGACACTCCCATGGGTCTTCTGCGAGGCATTAAGTACGGCACCGAGTCCTACCACGTCCTGTTCAAGAGACTTTGCAGGTGAGTGTCATCATAGTCTTTGGTGTGATGTCCTAGCGGGCCCTGAGGTGGGGAAGGGGTGTGTTTTGAATTGAGTTATTGGTTCATTGGCACACTAGACACGTAAGTTTATATAGTTCACCTGAAAGTTAATTCACCTAATTCTACCTGGGAGATGTTAAGTTAGGTTAGGTTAGATAAGGTTTAGTTGGTAGATCAATTGATACAACATATGAATCATGATCAATTACTCTCTCTCTCCTACCGTCTATGACCCATTATATATATAAACCTCCTCCCCTTCACCGCCTTGTACAGCTACGCAGGTCTACATTGTGTGGTCATCAAGGGCTACAGCAAGTCGGCGGGGTACCAACCAGGGGTGAGGTTCGAGGACAACAGATTCAGAAACTCTTGGAACGCCGTGTATGTGGCCGGGGCGTGGCGGTTCGTGCAGTGTAATTGGGGCGCCCGTCACCTGGTCAACGCCAAGGAGGTGCCCAAACCCGGAGGCAAGAGTAAGAGTGACAGTCTCAGGTGAGTTGGGTGCGGCAGGTAAAGTTTGAGTGCGGCAGGTGATGTTTGGGTGCGACAGGTGATGTTTTGGTGGGCCGGGGGTGATGTTGTGGTGGGGTGATGTTTTGGCGGGTAAGGATGGTGTTGTGGTGGCCCAGGGGTGATATTTAGATGGGCCGGGGGTGATGTTTTGGTGGTCCAGGATGATGTGGTGGCCCTGAGGTGATACTTGGAATGGTTGTTCACTGTTTCTATATCTTATTTATCCCTCTGTTGCACTTTCATTTTTATCTCTCTTTCATGTTTCACAACTTTATCTTTCATCTTTATCTATCACTCATTCCCTCTCTTTCTCTCGTCTTTATCTCTCTCTTGTTTTTTTTATCTGTACTTTCGATCTTTTCTCTGTCTCTCCTCTTTCTTGTTTCCTTCTCACCCCCTCTTTCTCTTATGATTTCTCTCTCTCCTTTTCATCTTATATATATATCTCTTCCTTATCTCTCGTCATTATTTATCTCTCTCTTCTTCATCTCCTTTCATGGCAATCTTTCTTTAAGTATCTCCATTATTCCTATTTTTGTATGTGTCGATGATTCTTGCTTTCCTCTATGTCTGTTTTATTAATTTTTTAAACATTTATTCTTCGTTATTCTTCATCTAACATCTTTCTACTGTTCGTTATGATGGTGTATTTGCTTATGCCCATTTCCCAAGGGTGAAGTTACTATTTACCAGATGCTAGTTGCTAGTTCCAGCTGCTAGTTCTTAGTTGGTAGTTCCTAATTCCTAGTCCCCAATGAATTCTTAGTTCCAATCAATTCCTAATCCCGATTTTTCAGTCCTCAACCAGTTCCTAATCCCCAATTACTAGTACTCAGCCACCAAGTAAGTCACCCCATAAACCAATCATCTTCTCATTTTCTCTCCTCTTCTCACACACCTGTCACTGCAGGTGTGTGAGTTATCTGTGTACATCTGACAACTACCTGCATGACATTACTTTAGAGCTTGTCACCTGTCATAGACGAATTTAGCTTTGTATTTGTCAGCTTCTCGTCAAGGCAGCGGGCAATGACAGCTTCTAGTGGTCATGTGTTCACTTAGAGTCATGGCTGGCTGGGTGGCATAAGGGCCCATCAGTGTTGGCATGAGGCTTGTAGGTATACAGTATATGCCTGTATGTATCTATGACTATGTATATATGCTTGTATGTACAGTATATATCCTTGTATGTATATATCCACATTATACATTATTAATACACTGTGCTGATGCGCTTTTGATATATTTAATGACTATTAAGGTGTGTGTGTGTGTGTGTGTACGCAGTTTAGTCTAGTTTAGTCTGTGACCAGTATAGCAACCACAGTATTATACACGATGGATGAATAAGTTTTCATTATGCATTTTACCTTGACCCGCAGGGGCCAAAGATGTTTTCATAGCAAGCATGTAGTAAGCATTTATTTAGCCTGCTCAGACGCAGCTGCTTTTGTCACGTACACGGTTTGGCGACAGTGTGTCCACCAGAGATGTCTCAATATGACGATATCACCTTTGAAGCTCATTACTCATTCAATTAATGACTCTTACTTGATAACTAGGTACAGTTATTATCACTTGTAGACTTCCAAGCATTTGATGTAAATTATTAGTCAGATAAGTTAGATATTTGCAACGTCAATTAATGATGATTCACGGCTCTAACGAGATCATTTCCAGACAGCTATTTCAGTGATGCTGCTGACACTGATTCAGGTGTTTATGCAAGGAATTGACTCATACCGACCCTCCCTGCTGGTAGAAGCTTCTAGAAGCTTGAACCCATGTATCATCCTTCGTGACGTCATTGTCAGTTAGCCCCGGGGTGGGTTCGCCCTGGAAGAGCTAGGCAGTCTTTAGCTGGACACCACACATTACTGATCTACCACTGAGCAGTACACCCAGAGAACTTTCAGTCCTAGCATATCTAAATAGCATCTTTCACACTGCTCTCAGCTCACAGCTCACAGTCCTTTGATCAAGTGGCCAGCCTCTCTGTAGAGATGGATGGTTTTGTGAATATCTGGTAATTCCCTAATTAAATGTGAGTCTTCAGAAGAAGTTACAGTGAAGTTACAGTGAAGTTACAGTGAAGTTACAGGGAAGTTACACATGTGTGTGTGTGTGTGTGTGTGTGTACAGTGTGTATTTTCAACCATTGGCTGTTATTATTATTTTTTCAATAAACTCGCATAGACGTGGATTTCACTCTCTTGCTTTCAAGGAAAGTAGATGCCTTCACTGAGTGACTCATCGACTGTGAATGATTTACGGACCGAGTGAGTGAGTGAGTGAGTAACGGTCTTGACTCAGTAGTTGCTGCTTCCCGCTTTGTTGTGTTCCCGCTTGTAACCACCACCACCACCACAGCAGCACCACTAACAACTATCTCTCACAGCACAGCACCACCACAGCACCACCACAGCATCACTAACAACTATCTCTCACACAGCACAGCACCACCACAGCACCACCACAGCATCACAAACAACTATCTCTCACACAGCACAGCACCACCACAGCACCACAAACAACTATCTCTCACACAGCACAGCACCACCACAGCATCACTAACAACTATCTCTCACACAGCACAGCAACACCACAGCACCACCACAGCAGCACCACTAACAATTATCTCTCACACAGCACAGCACCACCACAGCATCACTAACAATGATCTCTCACACAGCACAGCACTACCACAGCAGCACCACTAACAATTATCTCTCACACAGCACAGCACCACCACAGCATCACTAACAACATCACACTACACAGCATTATCTCTCACACAGCACAGCACCACCACAGCATCACTAACACCATCTCTCACACAGCACAGCACCACCACAGCATCACTAACAATTATCTCTCACACAGCACAGCACCACCACAGCATCACTAACAATTATCTCTCACACAGCACAGCACTACCACAGCATCACTAACAATTATCTCTCACACAGCACAGCACCACCACAGCATCACTAACAATTATCTCTCACACAGCACAGCACCACCACAGCATCACTAACAATTATCTCTCACACAGCACAGCACCACCACAGCATCACTAACAATTATCTCTCACACAGCACAGCACCACCACAGCATCACTAACAATTATCTCTCACACAGCACAGCACCACCACAGCATCACTAACAATTATCTCTCACACAGCACAGCACCACCACAGCATCACTAACAATTATCTCTCACACAGCACAGCACCACCACAGCACCACCACAGCATCACTAACAACTATCTCTCACACAGCAGGAAGGTGTCGGGACGTATAGGAAGCCGCAGCAATAACTTAAGGTCCGTAATATTGAGAGACAGAGAGACATTGTGTGGTCTGTCTCTCGTTCCTCTTACGTCTCTCTGTTTCTCCATTCAGCGTCTCTCAGTGAGTCTCTTTGTCTCTCTTTGTCTCCGGGTGTTAGTTAAGTTTTGTGTCTCTGTCTTTCCATTCAGCGTCTCTCTCAAGGATCTTCTCACGTCTCTCTGGGTGTGATGTCTCTTGGTGTCAGTGAGAGACTTTGCAACTGTTTCACGAGTGTCTCTTTCGGTCTCTTCGATATCTCTCTCTCGGGGTCATAATGTCTTGTCACAATGTCTCATCCAATGCTCCAATGTGTCTGAAATATTCTTTGTCTCTTATCTCTAAAGGAATGAACATCTAACTCTTTACTGTGTCTCTAATGTCTCTATCTCGTGTCTCTTTCTTGAGGATTCTTGATTCTTGCACCATTATCTCTATTTGTCTCTCAACACTAGACACTTCTCTATCTCTCTACGTGAGACATATAGATTTAACTCCTGTGAGTATTTTTGTCAAGTTACCTGTCGCTTTGTGTGTGTGTGTGTGTGTGTGTGTGTGTGTGTGTGTGCTTGCTTAGTATGTAAAACTTAAAATTTTTCACTTTACACACACACACACACACACACACACACACACACACACACACACACACTCACTCAGTCACTCACTCACTCACTCACTCACTCACTCACTCACTTTCTCTCCTCCCATACAAGCACATCTCTCTCCACTCCTTGCAAGTCTTCGCACACAGAAAAAAAAAATGGTGTTTGTGGTGGTGGCTCGTGTCCTCAGCGGGTGACTGGTGTAACACTCTACATCAGCTATAAGTCTTCCTCACGTTATAAGTTGATACGAGCATGATAGTTCAAGGTATGATAATTGGGACTCTCTTACATACATACATACATACATACATACATACATACATACATACATACATACATATATACATATACTGAGCTTCTCGGCGTCACTATAGATAACAAATTAATTGGAAACCACATGTCAGTGAAGTTGTCAAATCCTCCAGTTTTCGTCTCCACCTCTTCCGCCAACTCAAGTCCTTCGGAGTTTCTGCGCCCGAGCTCCTCAGTGTTTACACAACATTCATACTTCCCAAGCTCACCTATGCCTCCCCTACCTGGTCTTCCTCCCTAAATGCAACATAACGTAAAAACCTAGAAAAAGTACAAAAGAGGGCATGCAAAATTATTCTCTCCCCTTCCTACTCTACATATCAAGAAGCGCTCAACACACTGACCCTTTCGACTCTCACTGACCATCACCACGACCTCATCTGTTAAGTTGGTGAGAAGCTTCTGCACCATCCTCGACGCCGGCTCCTACTACCACCCGAAATCCCTCGTCCGCGAATTGCTGTTCTACACCACAACCGCATCCAGCCCATACGAGCACGTACTGATCGCTATAAGAACAGCCCAGTCCCAACCATTGTAAAAATTATCAACAACTTGCAATCAGCCAGTTTATTCACTCCCAGTCAATCTTACCTTTTTGCACTGTTACTATATTGAAATGGCCTGTAGTATGACCTTCTCCCCACCTAGATATTATATATATCATATTTGTGTCACTTATGTTCCTTGTATATTATTTGTCAATCAAGTGACCCATTCCCCAATTATGTAACTGTATATTTTCAGCCTTCCGGCTGCCATGCTCTTTCAATAAACCGTTAATTATTATTATTAATATTAATATTATTATTTTTACATACATACATACATACATACATACATACATCATGCATACATACATACATACATACATACATACATACATACATACATACATACATACATACATACATCATGCATACATACATACATACATACATACATAGTGTACATACATACATACTTATATACATACATACATACATACATACATACATACATACACCAGTCTATTTCTCTATGGTAGTGGGCTCTTAAGTATAAGTATACTGCTTACTTAAATAACACAACACTGCTTGTAGTATTAAGTGGATCTGGCCCATACCACCCCCCCCCTAGGCCTCCACCTCCCTCCCTCCCTCCCCTCCCTTCATCCTCCCCTCCTCCCTCCCTCCCTCCCCTCCCTTCATCCTCCCCTCCCCCCTCTCTCCGCCAGCCGTCAGTACAACAAGCAATACTCCCTTAAATACAGGTCCTGTAACGTCACCTCCTCCCTCTCCTCCATCACCAACTCCTTCACCCTCAGATACCAGAACTACCCGTAGAAAAAGTCCTCCAGAACGACCCCCTTTCTCCTTCAGGTGCGAGTACGACCACCCCTACGTCCCTCTAACCCCTCCTCACCATTCAAGTACGACCTTTAGATCTCCCTTCTCAAGTCCTCTTAATAATCCCCCTCTTCCTCTTCTCCCCCACAACACGAGTCCCCAAACACTCTTCTTCTCTCCCCAGGCAAGAGACTCCTAACACTTGTCTTCCTCCCCAGATACGAGTACGACGACCACTACTTCCTCACGGACCCCAAGGAGTTCATCTACGAGTTCTTCCCGCTGCAGGCCGAGTGGCAGCTCCTGAAGGCACCTATCAGCCTGCACGAGTTTGAGGAGTTGCCCTTCGTCAGGTCACTCTTCTTCCGCTACGGTCTGTACTTCCCCGACGAGCACACCAAGGCCGTCATGTACACCGACTCCACAGGTGAGATGATTGGTAGGATAGGTGAGATGATTGGTAGGACAGGTGAGATGATTGGTAAGACAGGTGAGATGATTGGTAGGACAGGTGAGATGATTGATAGGACAGGTGAGATGATTGGTCGGACAGGTGAGATGATTGGTAGGACAGGTGAGATGATTGATAGGAGAGGTGAGATGATTGGTAGGACAGGTGAGATGATTGGTAGGACAGGTGAGATGATTGATAGGAGAGGTGAGCTGATTGGTAGGACAGGTGAGATGATTGTTAGGACAGGTGAGATGATTGGTAGGACAGGTGAGATGATTGGTAGGACAGGTGAGATGATTGGTAGGACAGGTGAGATGATTGATAGAGAGGTGAGATGATTGGTAGGACAGGTGAGATGATTGGTAGGACAGGACAGGTGAGATGATTGGTAGGACAGGTGAGATGATTGGTAGGACAGGTGAGATGATTGATAGGAGAGGTGAGATGATTGGTAGGACAGGTGAGATGATTGGTAGGACAGGTGAGATGATTGATAGGACAGGTGAGATGATTGGTAGGACAGGTAAGATGATTGGTAGGGCAGGTGAGATGATTGGTAGGACAGGTGAGATGATTGGAAGGACAGGTGAGAAGATTGGTAGGACAGGTGAGATGATTGATAGGACAGGTGAGATGATTGGTAGGACAGGTGAGATGATTGGTAGGACAGGTGAGATGATTGGTAGGACAGGTAAGATGATTGATAGGACAGGTAAGATGATTGGTAGGACAGGTGAGATGATTGGTAGGGCAGGTGAGATGATTAGCAGATCAGAGTCTCGTACAGGGAAGAGGTGTCAACATATCTCACAGGTATTAATGACTCACACCCTACCTGTCCTCCCCCCACCAGGTGCCGCCACTATCAGGATCGGTATGCCGGAACATTTGCAGTCGTCCCTCATCTTCCACTACAACCTCAAGCTGTATGACTCTGACAAGGACCAATACGACACTGTCTCTCTCAAGCGCTTCGTCATGCAGGTCAGTCAGTTAGCCAGTCAGTCAGTCAGTCGTAGCCAGTTAGTACGTAGGTAAGAAGGTCGTGATTCAGTGGTTCGTCAGTAGGTAGAGTCATCAGTCATCAACAGGGTAAGCCAGGGGAGTCATGACTAATCAACAAGTGGAGTCATCAATCATCAGCTGATAGAGTAATCAGTCATCAAGAGGTAAGCCAAAGGAATCATGACTAATCAGCAGGTGGAGTCATCAGTCATCAACAGGTAAGCCAGGTGATTTATGACTAATCAGCAGGTGGAGTCATCAGTCATCAACAGGTGGAGTCATTACTCATCAACAGGTGGAGTCATCAGTTATCAACAGGTAAGGTGTCAGTCGTCCCAGGCAGAGGTTGTTTAAATCACTCATCACTACTCAGGTGTTGTGTCTCTCGTGAGGATTTTTGGTGCTTTATAATGACTTGACTTGATACAGTGTTGTCATAATAGACGTTAGTTCAGTGCATTATATTAACCCTTTGAGTACGATGGTTTAACACCTGGAAGACGATGGTTTAACTCGTTGAAGATGATGGCTTAACTCTTTGAGGAAAATGATTTAGGGACGATGGTCTAAGATGATGATGGATTAACCCCTTCAGGATGATACCATCGTTCTCAAAAGCTTAAACCATCGTCCTCCGAAGGTCGAGCCATTATCCTCAAAGGCTTAAGGGTAAGACCATCGACTTTCATGGGTTAATATATCAGCAATTTTACACAAGAAGCTGGTCTATGAAGACATAATACAAGGGTCACCTGTATAAACTAATTAACCTGTGTTTCTTGACCCTAACCTGTTGTAAATCACTGTATTTGGGGAAGAGGGGGGGGGGGACTTCCGGGATGTGCAAACTAACTAATCTGTTTCTGGTCTCACAGTCGGTGGTCGTTCAGCTGGTCGCCTTCCGTGTCCACGCGCCGTGCTCGGGGGCGCTACTCCTCGACATCTTTGCTAACGCTGTGACACCCCGGGAGTACCTTACTGGGGAGCCCATGAAATTCAAGAGTGTGTGCAAGTTTAAGATCGTCTGTGAGGACCTGCAGACGGTGATGGTGCCGCTGCCAGACTGTGCCTCGGGTGAGTGGGGTCCCGCTAAGGCTACCAGACTCTTCGGCTTGGAGCCCGTCACTCACCAGGACGCTCTTGTCTTCGCCGGCCGCGAAATCGAGCTCCAGTTCCGCATGACTCGACCACTGACGGACTTCATGGCGACACTACACAAGAACGGCTCTGAGGAGAAGCGACTCAGTAAGTATGTGAGTCATAAAGTCACTGACGACGTAGTGACATTTGCTCTGAGCTTCCCGGAGGAGGGGCAGTACGGCATGGACATTTACACCCGCGAGGTGGCTGGACCCGACACAGGAGGACCCACGGAGAAGCACCTCCTCACACACTGCTGCAAGTACCTCATAAACTCCTCCAAACGCAACTAGTGCCTCACTCCTCGCCAGCTGATGCCTCTCCCCCTAGCGTGGTGAAGGTGAGGCAACAGCTGGCAGAACACAGACAGAAGAAACACACCAGACAGTGTTGTATTGCCAAGGCCACAACGCAAAGAGTAAACACACAGCATTATGCAACATTATGCAGACCAGTCATATAACAGCATCTGCTGCAAGGCTCGCAGCACACGTGGAGCTGCAGCAGACACAGCAGCTGCAGCTCTGCGTTGCAATATCCGTCCTCAAGTGCCTCGATCTGTGTTGGTCGTGCCTTAACACTTACAGTCTTGGGTCACCTTATACAGTACTTAACCTACTTGTATTAGATAATATTACCATAATGAAACAGGAGAGTGTACATATAATTAAGTATTTACAACAGAGATCTTTTTAACCTTTTATATAATATTTTTATTGTTACCATGTTACATGTTACAGTTGAAGATAATAATAATAAGCATGCTTAATACCCTCCAGTTAGTTGATTCATGTATTGACAAAATAGTCTTATACAAACGCGTGTTTTTGTGATGTTTAACTGAGATATAATTTAATAGCCTCTGCTGGGTCCTACACTATCGTCTGCAGCTCAGTGACCACTTGACCCTCACTGACACAGTCAAGGGTCAGGTCAGGTCCTGGTTGCTTCACCCGCTAAGTGAACTGACCGTCGCTTGGTTATGACGCTGACTGTCCAGCACGAGATATTAACAGTTGGCAGCGACGCTCTGCCTTGTGTTTTTAGGGTAAATGTTTCTTTCTATTTTTGCCTCCTGTAGAAGATGAGGTGGAGGAATAATGTCTCTTTCTTGGCGCAGAGTCCTGCTGTTGACAAAGGCTTTCATTTTGTTCTCTGTCTCAACTTTCTTCAAGAGAACAGCGACTGTGACCTCATACAGCGCCAGTACGAGCCATCAGCAGCGCTTGGCGTTTCCCTCGTCCACCCTGCAATGACACGCTGATGGAAGCTACTACGCTAGGTGAACGTTTGCGAGCCTTCTGCCAGTAGTGGCGCTCTTTCACGGTACGAGCCAATACGGAATGTCGCCCTCCACCACCAGCCAGCCCTCAACACTGTACAGCTCACACAACTTGTCTTCCACTAATATTTTTATAAATTATTGTTGACTTAACACTGAACAAAGAGGAGCTGCCGCCTGTCACCCAAGGTGTTGACGCGAGCCACGACAGAGGTGGTCCTGGGTTGTATGTGAATGTGGCTCACGTCCCCTGTCTCTTCCTTATGTCTCTCTCTCTCTCCCTCTTCGTACTCTTTCTCTCCATTTTACATTAATACACCAAGATTTGTACTACCGTCAGTTCGCCAGGATGATGATGACAACAAGATAAATCAAGGCGAAGAGTTTATGACAATTTCTACTTGATCTTTGTGCTAGTCAGAGGAACACAGACAGGATAATAAATATTTCTTCTGCCATGATTATAGTAAAAAATAGTGAGAGGTTTTCCGTAATTTGGGTTTGGTCTCTCAGGGGCCGGATGTTTGAATTTGGTCTGTCAGTGGCCGGATGTTTGGGCTTGGTCTCTCAGGGGGCCGGGTGTTTGGGTTTGGTCTCAGGGGGCCGGATGTTTGGGTTTAGTCTATCAGGAGGCCCGACGTTTGAATTTGGTCTATCAGGGGGCCGGATGTTTGAGTTTGGTCTGTTAGGGGCCGGATGTTCAGGGAATTATACTATAGTTTAATTCTTCTTGACTGATGATCTAAGAATGCCTCTGACTGGGTAACTGAAGCTTAAAAAACACCTCCAAGTCTTCCCTCACTTTAGCCCAGAATCACACAGCTACTAAAATGGCACCGTACTTTAACATAAACTCTACTGTAATGGAAAGTTTTCTCCAGTTTCCAGTTCGAGATAAAATAAATCTTACGAGTTTTTGATAATTAAGGTGCAGATGGACCTGTGTTGTCGACGTAACTCACTTAAGAAGGTTGTGATACGAGAGAGAATGAAAAGAAGAAGTGTTTTATTATTGTTATTATTATTATTGTATGTCCTAATGCACAAAAACTGTTCCCGTAGAGTGATCTAGTGTGTTCTGTACATTTACCCGAGAGAGACATTCCCATAGTGTAGTTTAAAGCATTAAAATTAAAACACAACATTTATTTTTCCCGCCGATTTATTTCTATTTTTTTGGCGGGAAAATAAAAACTATGGCGGGAAAGATGATCTGTTTATCCTCAAATATTGGCGGGAAAAATAAAATAAGCTTTTGGTAGTCGGTTCATAATATTGAAACTTAGAAAAAAAATACCTTCATTTATTTTTTCTCAGCGAACTATTATTATTATTATTATTTTTTTTTACAATTTAATCTTTTCCTCCACATTCCTCACCTGACATTTGCATTTTCTTCTCGTACAAATTAATATATGAAATGTAATATATTAATATAATGAGACTATTATCATCCCCATCGTCAAGTGGCGGTGACTGTAACATACTGTGCTGGTTTGTTAATAAAGACGGTGCCCTACACTGTATGTTTGTTTACATCCTGCGAGTTTGAGACAAATAGAGGCAGAACGAGAAATGAAGAGATTTTTTCGCCCTTGAAGAGGGTCGTCGTGTTTCAACCCGAGTTTTATACAAAATGAGTCCTGAGAGACACCGCAGTACAGTACTTAACGGGGTGGTGTGGCGGTAAAATTAACTAATTCCAATAAAATTAATTTATAATATTAGAATTAGCTATTATTACCGCCACACCACCCCATTAAGTACTGTATTGCGGTGTCTCTCAGGACTCATTTTGTATAAAACTCGGGTTGAAACACGACGACCCTCTTCAAGGGAAGATGTTGTTTAATATCGGGAATAAAGTCAAGGTTAAGGTTATGAAAAGGTCGATCACGGAACTTCATATTTATATTTAGGCCTATATAGGGAGATAGAGCAAAATAAATAATAAATAACTATATTACGTTTCCGTCGCAAATTTATAATTTTCGAGGATTTTGAATTTTTCGATTTCACACAGGCATTTACATTTTGGCGGGAGACACTGTTTCCATCTGACTCATGCGGGTGTGTTCCGCCAATCACCAAGTCTCTGTCACAAGACTGTCCGACCAATCAGCGTTGCACTCTGTGTCACGTGTTACTCTTGCACATCCTCCAAGTTCTGAAATTTAGTTAGTACTTGGCTTAGTTGGCTAGTTGCAAGATGTTTTCTCTCTGCACCGCGTGTTCTTCCTCGGTTTGGCAAACCATTCATCGTGTATTGTATTTGAAAACGACATTTTTAAGGCTCATTGTATTTTGCCAACCTCTGTGAAGTGTGGAAAGTGCGGTTCGGACTGTTGCTATACTGTAAAGACAAGACGCTTTGGTTTGTGCGAAAAGACGAAAGGTCGCCAAGACAAAGAAATCTCCTCGCTGTGGTTTCTGTGTTTCTGCGCTTCAGGGCACGTGGCTGGACAAAGCACACCTGTCAGCATGGAAGAACGTGTTATTTTGTAGGAACACAGAGAAGGGTCTGGAGTCGTAATTGAAATAGACGAGAGGAGATTTGGAAAATCAAAATACAATCGTGGCCGTGAAGTGAGAGGAGTGTGAGTGTTGGGGGCAGTGACGCTCTCCAAACGGAAATTCATACTCCAGTGTCTGATCTCAGTGCTGATACTCTCATACCGCTAATTCAGAGGTTTGCAAAGTGGGTACAGTAGTGTCATTCACACTGACCTTTGGAGGGCGTACAGTACCCTCGGTGACACAACTGCCAACCACAGTGAAAACTTTGTAGATCCTTCTACAGGCGTTTGTGTACACACAAAATATAAAACGATTGTGGAAGGATATCAAGAGCTGGGTGTTTCGTGCCGGCAATAAAGCAATAAAAGGAACATTATCGAAAATGTTTCGCTTCGGTACATGTTCCAAGTCGAACACAACGATTACAAGATCCACCACTTCCTCCTACAAGTAGCATCACTTTGACCTCCAACATCTGTTAATTAAGGTAATTTTTTTTTACACCAGTAGGTCCGAGGGGGGGGGGGCAGTTAGAAGGTTAGGTCAGGTCTTTTTGGTTTGTCTCGTTAGGAATTTTTTATTTACGTGCTTTTACCCTACAATTTATCTCTACTTCAAAGTCCCGCCCACTTTGTGCAATCGATGTTGTTGGTAATTGGGGGGTGGGGGGGTGGGGGGTGGGGGGGCATTCATATATCAAAACGGCACATTTGCGACGGAAATAAAAATCAGAATCGCTTGAAACACCACAAAATACACTAAAAACCTATTTTGTTAGTTCCATGGTCGACCTTTCCCGAATCATTACTGAATAAAATTGACGTTTCAGAGATGAAATAGATAGATAGACAAACACAAAGAATATAGATAAATAGAGATTAACACATTGATGAACTGAAAATAGATGATGAAGAAAGAGATAGAGAGATATTAAGAGACAAATAGAAATTCACGGAAACAGAGTGAGTTCATAATAATAGACACGTGAAAGAAAATATAAGAGATAACACTTGATAGAGAGATAGATGGAGGCGATACATAGAGAGAATTTGATAGAAATAATAAATAGATAGATGGACAGAGTTGAGAAAGTGATGAATAAATATGGAAATAATTAGAGATACATATAGATAATGAGAAATAACATAGAAATAAGAGACACATATGCAAGAAATTAAATGAACGAAAAAGGAAATAAATAAATTAAAATAAAAGGGAGAAAACGTTAAAAAAAATAACGAAAAAGATAAGAAAAAAAATATATTGGTAAAGGTAAAAACTAAAAATAATGAATGGTAGAAATAAAAACACTGAAATAAAATTGAGAAAGAGAGGATCGACTAAAAGAACGAAGAAAGTGAAAGAAGAAAGAATAGAAACCAAAAAGAGGGCAAAGAATGGTAATTAAAGAAGACAACGATGGAGATAACAAAAAATCTAAGTCTATCATCAAAATGTTTTCTATGATGAACTGAATCTGAAAAGAAGGGGATTTCTATAATGTTCGGCGGACACTACTATATACTACTACTACTATTAGTCTACAACTGTTGCCGGTGTTCCAATACTACTACTGCTACTAATATTTTTTCTATTATGGCTGCCAACCTCCTCTTATAGCCATACCATTTCCACACATTACCAACAGGGCCGGATTAAGCTTAGTAGGGGCCTGAGGCACACATCAACTTGGGGCCCCCTACCCTCAAGGTATATATATATAGCAAGAACAAAATATACCAAAATTTATCAATGATTTCATCATTATTAAGCTTCTGCAAAATAACACATTCAATGTTCATAAGAGACAGAAAATTGAGATGTTGCTACGACATCGTTGAACGAGGTTCATGTTTTATATCCTTCAACTTCGAGAATGTTTGGATTTGGGGGCCCCTTAGAGTCGGGGTGCCTGAGGCTAGTGCCTCAAGTGCCTCATGGTTAATCCGGCACTGATTACCAAACTATCCTAATATAAAAGTACCTACCCTAGCTGAGTTATTTAAGCAGCAGATTTTTGCAGCATTGAGTGACTGTTGCCCCATGGTCATTGTCTGTGACTGTTGTTGGCTTAGGGGCAGATGATCTTGTTCCATTGAGGCAAAGCAGTGCAGACCTAAACAGAGAGAAGGACAGGCGACATCTCAACCAGGCTGCAACATAGCTTCTCGGCTGCTGCTTCTGTTCACTTAACACCTCGGCCTGTATGGCATAGAAGAATCTTGTACCAGATGTTGTGAACACCAGAAGAGTGAAGCTGCCTTGATCCGTGCTCTGAATTCTCTCTAAATACTCCCTGTTCTTGTCGTTCCCGTTCCTCCTGTGTGCACCCTCTGGCTTAGAATGTAATATGTTTTCAATATTTCAATATTTATGTAGTTGGATTGTGGTGATTAATAGCATATTATTAAACATTTATGTAATTAAGTATGTTGTATTTGCTCGAAACAAGGCTAACAACGTACTTGGGTTCATGCAAAGGAGTTAGTTACAAGACCAGCGAGGTTATCCTTAAACTATATCTTGCGCTTGTTAGACCTCACTTGGATTATACGGTTCAGTTCTGGTCACCGTACGACAGAATGAATATCGAATCTCTAGAAGGCATTCTGAGGAGACTAATCCCGGGCATTAGGAACCTTGAGTAGAGAGACGGATTAAAGCACTCCCTCGAGAGACGGATATGATCGAGTGGCGATATGATCGAGGTGTATAAGTGGAAGTCAGGGCTAAACAAAGGTGATATAACAAAGGTACTTAAAGTACCCAACCAGGAACGAACTCCTAGCAATGGTTTTAAATTAGACAAATTTAGAGTTAGGTGTGAGATAGGTAAACATTGGTTTGGAAATAGAGTAGTGGATGAGTGGAGCAAGTTAACGAACATCATCATTAACTCGAACACTCTGGGTAGCTTCAAACACAGGTTGGACGGATATATGAGCGATAGGGGTTGGGTGAAAACGGGGCTGCCTAGTATGGGCCAATTCTTATGCTCTACCACCACTACCATCAGTACCTACCACCACTACCACCACTACCACAACCTATCACCACCACCACCTACAACCACCACCACCACCACTTACCACTCTGCTGTCACTCGGAATTGAGTCTAATGACCATCCAGCTATGAAACAATGAAATGAGTTGTTAGGGATGTCACCTTCTTTGGTGAGTTTTAAGGTGTGGCCGATACGGGACCGGCAGGGTCGTTCACAGATGTTTCACGTGTGGATGGCCGCGGCAGCGTCTTTCCGGCGTTGGTGCTTGACTGCCTCGGTTTGCAGTCGGGCTAATTCGAAAGTATTGACACTTTCTTGTGTGGTGCTCCTCCAAGCGTTACGGTGTGGAGTAATCGTCTCCCAGGTGAGGGGGTCGATTTGGCATTTTTTTCAGGTTTGTCTTAAGACTATCCTTATACCTTTTCAGTTGCCCGCCAGCATTACGTTTACTATTAGTTAGATGACTGTAAAGTAGCTGCTTTGGCAGTCTACTGCCGTCCATGAGGGTAAGATGGCCAGTCCAAAGTAGTTGTTCATGGATAATGGTAACCTCGATGCTCCTACAGTTGGCGACAGTGAGAACACTGGCATTTGTTCTCTTGTCTTCCCAACGAACTCGGAGGATGGAACGCAGACTACGTTGGAAAAAAAAGTTTTCAAATGCTAAAATTGTATCAAGCCTCCCTTGCTGACGTTAGGGAACGTGTAAACGAACTCAAACGAAATGCATGGGAGACATAAGTATGTTGAACCAACACACTCTCCCCAGCAAAGCCTGGAAAGACATAAACACAATCAGAGGTAAAAACAGTAGACTCGTGTGGGCTCATGTCTCTAGCTATGACCTGTTACCAACTAGGACTCGAGGAATCCTTGATGCGAAGTCTGTAGAGAGAAGTACTGTAATCTTATTAACTTTATGCTGGACAAACAGCACGATGAGTGTGATGTTCCCCTGGAGAGGACGGTGTCACCTACAGTATCGTTAGACTACTAAGG